AACAATAACCCAAAGTAAAATTAACTTATCAAACTATAAAAGAAAAAAAAGTAGCAATAACAATGAAACTCCTAAATATTAATTATGTTTTTCTTTCTGTTTTCACAGGCTCTCATACAGAACGGGGCAAGACACAGCCAACTGTGATACATGTCGAAACAGCGCCTGCATCATTTACAGGTTCGGCCTTTAGCACAGCCACACATTAATGCTGCATTAAATCTAAATCTTTTCTGTGTGCTGCACTAAGGTCATTCCATTCTCATTCTGGTAGCCTTCCTCTTTGAATAATGGATTTACTTGTATCATAGCACTCTAAAAACAATTTTGTGTCATTGTACAAAATGCTACTGCTCATACTTTGTACAATGGCTTTAACATTATTCATGCTGAATTGTTTTAAGTTTTGAAATTCTCCAACCACAAGTTTCAGTACGTGTTATTCGTGATTTGTATAAACAAACACAAAATGGCATATTTATGTTTTAAATATGCAAAGTATAAAATATAGTACATTTGGCAAAATTTGATTAAGCCCCTTTCCACTGGATTTGCTGTATTATTAGATAAATTATGACTACATTATTAGTTATTTGGCAATGTATGGGCCCATTGTCACCAATAAACAATCTTAAACAGAAGTGGGAAGTTATTTTTATAAAGTAGGAAGTTCTTTGAAACAGACACATTGTATATGAGGAACAAACAAAGTCATCAGTTCCTACACATCTGTTCAAACATATAAAGCTAGGCTTTAATAAGTCTATATGATTTGTAATTTAATTATGTTTTTGTATATTTTTTAAAGAATGTTTTAGTTTTGCCCCCAAAACTTAAGAGCGAATAATTAAGTGTTGTAAGCTAAAATAAAATCTTTAATAAAAGTGTTTTGAAATTTTCACTTCTACATAATAGCACTTGCACCTTTAACATAAAACTATTTTGAAAGAAGTCTGAAGCGAACTTCAACTTCGAAGCAAAAGCTGCATTTCGTTAAGGATTGTAGGGAATGACAAATCACAGAGTCTCAAACAGGCACTACTTCAGAAAAATTAATTTATTCTGTGGTAAGTGTGCAGTTCATCAAAAGTCAGTGGTACAAAATAATCCAGTGTTTCAGACCTTTGATTGTATAGGTTGCTTGTTTTAACTTTTTGAAATACTTGGCAAAAACTCACAACATTCCCAATGTTTTATATCAGCCATTTTTATCAATTTTTGTAACTCTATTTCAGTTACCTGCCCTTCCCTCACAGCTGCAGCCTGTTTCTAATCAACCACCTGCTTTTTGGTCAGTAATCAGCTCTCCAGCTTAAGCAGCTCTCAGTCAGTCGCCTTATTCTTGGAATTTCCCAATTCAGGTGCTGCATCCTTTGTAATTTGTGTTTGTAGACCAATTATATCATAGTGCTGCAATGAAGGCTGTTTCAATTCACAAGTCGATCAAAGCTCCTATAAAATAGGCTGACAGATGAATC